GACTCTCCCCTGCGGGACTCCAAACGAGTCGAGTCTCCAGACTCCCCTACATGTGCTGAAAATGCACAGGTACGCACTGAAGTCGATTGTTTTCTTTATTATTTATTTGGACTAAAGCTGGTTGGTTCATGCCCTAATAATAATAATAATAATAATAATAATAATAATAATAATAATAATAAAGAACCGTTCCCTTTAAGTTTCTCGCTTCCGATCTCGATGAATAAAGTCGAAACGGGGGAAGTTTTGAAAACCCTTCAGCCGGGACAAGACGCGTCTCCTGCCGGCTCGTCCTGTTTTGTCCCCCCCCACACACACACACCCCCGCGTGTCGAGAAGGTGGGGTAACCCGACGCCGCTAGCGGGGTGCTCAGTCCGGGAGCCCTGCGCGCTCGGCCGTCGCGGTACCCCTTGCGCCGCTCCCGCGCCCGCCAAGCCTGCGCTGGTTAAATGGGCCAAGTTAGAGAGCGGCGGAGAGCGGAGCGGGTTTGGTCTGGGTCTCTGAACTAAAGCGTGACTTCAGAGAGATATACAGGGTTAAAAAAACAAAACGAGCAAACATCCCACCAGTACCAGATATCTTCTCGAGATTAAATAAGGAACGTGAAAAGGGAGGGGGGGAGAAGGAGGGGGGGGGGATTTTGTGATACACCTCCGGGAAGGAGAAAGATAACTTTTGTAAGAATTATTGGTGAAGCTTTTTCATTGCTTTCTGTGACAGTACGAAACGGTGCACAAGGCAGGCGCCGTGAAGCGCTCTACCCCGGTAGCAGCCCTTATAATTAAAAGTTGACTCGTGTGTGGAAGTAACCGGAGTTGAGTGAGCCCGGTGAGCCGGACAACTGACAGCTCGCAATCAGAACTAGTGGCCGAGTCCGCTCATTTACAAAAAAAGAAAGAAAGAAAGAAGAAAAAAACCCACAGAACGGGGTATCAGTTCGAAAAATCCTCTCCAGTCCCAGAGCTAGGTCGATGCGGGATCAATAAGCATTTTGACCAACATAATGTCTACGGCTGCAGAGATATCGCCACGATGTCAGGTATTAGGTGTTGCGAGAGTCAGATTAGCTGTGGGCAGGAGCGCGGCGCAGCTGTGAGCCCCCTGCGAGGAGCCGAACCTGGAGAGCGCCGGGGTCTCCGGCATGGCACGCTGTTCCTGAACTTGGACGCTCTGCTGTCACAGGGCGCCGCCGACACTGACACGGGAGGCCGGCGCCGAGCTCAAAAGTGGCGCGTCTGGGAGCCGGGGACGGACGAACTCCGCAGGGCGCACCAGAGGCAAGTTGGAGGGGAGCCGGGGGAGCTCCTGAGCGCCTGTCGCCGGCGCGCCGCTCTCGCCGCTCTCGCTAACATGCCCGCTATCAAGAAGGAGAGGCTGGAGGGGGAGGAGATGGCACTGGCCGCCTTCAACCAGCCCGAGTACCTGGCCCCTTTAAACGCCGCCGCGATGCCCGTGGTGACCCCCCATCCGCCGCCTTACGACCAGATTTTCGCCCACCACCGGGCTTACTTGATGCACGAGGCGGCGCTGCAGAACCCCCCCTTCCACGGGCACCCCGAGGACCTGGTGCTGGAGAGGTTCTCCTCCATCCCGGACTTCCAGCCGTTCTTCGACAACGGGGAGCCCTGCATCGAGGTGGAGTGCGGGGAGAACAAGGCGCTGCTGTACATCAGCAAGCTGTGCCAGGGCAGCAAGGGCCCGTCCATCAAGTACCGCGGCGAGTGGCTGACCCCCAACGAGTTCCAGTTCGTCAGCGGCCGGGAGACGGCCAAGGACTGGAAGCGCAGTATCAGGCACAAAGGTACAGGCAGGCGGCTCGCTCGGGCTCGGGGAGCTGCGAGGAGCGAGGAGGGGAGGAGGTGGCGGCGGTGCTCGTGGAGTTTGAG